TCCCTCCCTCCCTCCCTCCCTCCCTCCCTCCTTCCTTCCTTCCTTCCTTCCTTCCTTCCTTTTTCTTCTTTGATGTAACTCCTCCTGAGAGGGCGGTGGGCACTGGTGATGTCCCACTAAGGCAGTCCTTCACTGATGTCCCACCAGAGGGAACCCCCCCCACCCCAACATCAGCAGTTAGACACAGAGAGGGTTCTGGGCTGTTCCAGATCTCCTTACCCCTGGAACAGTACTTCAGCTAGTAGATAGTCTATTTGAAGACTATTGCATTTATTTATTTTGTGTGTTTATGTGTATCTGAGTAGACGTGTGAGGGTATATATGTGTCACAGAGTGCACAGAGGTCAAGGGACAACATTTGGGAATTAATGCTTTCTTTCCACTGTGTGGCTTCTGGGGACGAAATGCAGGTAGCCAGGTTTGGTGGCAAGAACCTTTACCCACTGAGCCATCTCAATGGGTTTTTGTTTTGTTTTTGAGATAAGATTTTACTATTAAAAAAAAAAAAGATTTTACTATAGCCCTGTTTAGCCTGGGACTCACTATGTAGACTGGGCTGCCTCCCTAGTGCTGGGATTAAAGGAGTGCACCACCAAGCACATCCATATGTTTCTCTTTGGTTATGCAAATACGTGCTCATCTGTGTGCGGATATGGGAACAAGTGCGGGTGCTCGGGTGCTCGTGGAGGGCAGAGAGAGGAAGGTGTCGGGTTCCCTGGGACTGGAGTGACAGGTGGTTGTGAGCCACTTAGCACAGGTGCTGGGAACTCGGGTCCTCTAGAGAATCAGCGCTTTTAACCTCAGAGCCATCTCCCCAGCTGAGCAGACAGCATTTCTAACTCCAGTTTACCGCACCCTTGGGCAGAGACTCTCCGAGCAGTGCGGGGCAGAGAGAAAGCTTGGCACACACCAGACGCTGCTGCCGTGATTTGGAGACCTGTCTGCCTGTCCCTCCATGTTCCTCTCTCACGTGCCTGGGTTTCCAGGCTCCTGCATATGGCTGTTGCCTCCCTCACTGCTCTTCTCCCAGCTGGATGTAGTGCCCAGTGCTGCCAGGAGTGGCTGTCCTGCACTTCTACCCTAGGAGTTGGCCCTGTCACCACGCACCTGGGCAGATGGCCTTGCTCTGCAGCAGCTTTTCTTCCAGACCCGCAGCCTGACTAAGAGGGACACCTTCCGCCTCTCTCCAGTCCAGCCACTGCCTTCTCTGTTCCCCAGAAGATCTTTGATGGCTCCCACAAACTGGAGGACACAGATCAGATGCCCTAGGAGTGTACCCTAACATATGCTCAAAGGCCAGAATATCAAGCTACAGGAGTTTATTTCTCAGATTCGAGTCAGTAAACACTCGGCATGGGGCAGGCTAGTAGATCTCAGCAGAATCTGGAAGGCGGTCCAGTGGTAGAGCCAGTGGCTGGTAGATGGGGTGGGGCGAGCTTCCAGCATGTTTGGAGTCAGACAACGATGGACCTAACATTGAAAGGGACACGGGATACCTATTTTCATTTTGACACTTTGGAGAAAAACAGTCTCCAGACTGTGTTTTAAGCCTAGAACGCTTGAGACCTCCCGGGATGCTGGCTTTGAGATGCGCACGCTCTAGTCTGGAGCTCACAGCCCAGGCCTGTCCTTGGTGGGGATGCGGTGGGGTGGGGGGCGGGGGGCGTTCCTTGTAGTGTTATAATTCAGGAGGTGGGAGAGAATCTGGCTTTGGTGAGGAAACTGAGGCATTGTGGAGGGGGGAAGCTTGAGAACAGGAGGCTACTGCAGACCATTCTAAAAAAGTTGAGGTACAGCCACAGGCAGATGGCGGATGAAAACACCCTTGTCTCTCTGTCTGCCTCAGGTGCCCTAGGAATACTGCAAGGCCACCTATGTGAGGAGTGGGAAGTGGCTTCCAGGAAGTGAGGGGCCCAAGAGAGTGAAGGGGAAGCTACTCAGTCCTCACCCCAAGGTTCAGTCCTTCCCCAGCCTCCTTCTCAATCCCAGGTACCAGCATTGCAGAGAAGGATGGATGTAGAAAGATGGAAGCCAGAGTGTAAGCCAGCAGGACAGCTCTGGCAAAAATGCAGGAGGTGTAGTCCCGAGGTCAGAGAAGGGCCAGTTTGGCCTGGGGCAAGCATGGGACCTGGGGCAATCTGGGATTGGGAAAGCTGGGATCTATTCCTATGCCTCCCTGTAGCCACATTTGCTATTGGATCTACTCTGCAAGCCCCAAATCCTTTTCAGTTAGGGCTGGGCTCCCATAAGCTTGCCTTTTCTTAGGGTCTCAGCTTTTGGCAGTGCCCCGTTGTGCCCATGCTGGTGGCTATACCATCAGGGAATGTTTGCTACATTGACCTGTCAACGACCCCTAGGAGGCTGGCTGCACCTGGTGGGCAGAGGCACCCAAAGTTACATTCTGCCTTGTGGGAAATGGCTCTTCTTCACTGCAACTTGGGAGGTCGCTGGGCCTCCCGCCAGATCCCACATGGAGGGCTTTGGTCTGAATGAGGTGTTCTGCCCTCTGAAGCTGACTGTGCTCCCTCCACTTTCTTCTGGGGCTGCAGAGATTTGTTGTGCAGCCTAAGAACTTTGGTTGGGACTAAGGTAACTCACGTATGTATTACCCGCCTCTCCTAACTTGCACTTGGCAGCACCTCCCAACTTTGTTAATGGAAACCTACTGATCCGTGACACGCGTGTGGCAGACATCTGCTCGGGGTAATGTGCTGGTAATGTACGTATCGATGATCAATCTGCGGATTTGCAAGAGCGGCATAAAGTATTTAATTATAATCACGTTGGGCGAGTCTGCGTGGTGGCAGCGACATTTGAATAGGTCACGGCCAGCCCTCACCCCTGTTATGTTATCGGTATTAAATGCCACTCACTCCTGATGTCGCGGGCTATCACACCCTGGCAAACTGGAAATGTCCCTTTGCTTCTAAGAACATGATTGATAGCCTCTGCAAAGTGACCGCCAAACCTCAAGGTACACCAGCCTCACCTGGCACCGTCCTCACCTCTCCCATCTGTGGCTGCGGACAGCATTTGGCAGTGAACCCGAGTGCAGAGGGACTGAGTCTCCCTAAGCTTCTCGGTCTTTCCCAGGGCAAGGGGTTTTCTGGTTTCAAATTAGACTTTGCTAACTCGAACAAACTGTCAGAAGCAAGCAAGCCAGCATCCAAAAGATGAAATGCAACTTTTATTTATTCAGTTGGTAGCAGAAAAAAAAGTATCATCGGACACTGTCTGAACCAATTCTGATGTGGGTACCATCTGTGTCACAAGCCATCGTGAGTCAATGCTTTTAGAAGGCCCAATAGACAGATACACAAAACAAGGACACAGACAGAAGCATGACTACAGTGCACGCGCACGCACACACACACACACAGACACACACCCGCACAGGCACAGGCACACTCCTCACAGCACAGACAAGCTAGTGCAGAGGAGAAAGCCTGCATAGAGCAGAGCTCACAAGTATGATGGATGTGTTGGTGGGAGCAGCCGAGTACTGGAAACCTACAGGTGGTATTGCAAAGGGGCAGGGCACTGCACCTTTGGCGAGGGCTTTGGAGGAGGGCTCCCTCTCTTCTTGCTGGGCTGGGGTGGGGAACAACTTCTAGGCAGAGGCTGGTGCTCAACAGGGGCGGGAGGTCAGAGAGTAGGAATACTCCCTTTAGGAGGGATGCTGCAGGGCCCAGAACCCCTTCTCTTTTCCCCAGCCAGTAAAGACTCTATGGAGAGGTACGGGAGCAAAGGGATTACTCCATCAGGCTGGAACAGTAGCTAGGCCTAAGAGCCCTCTCCTGTGACTCCACCCTTCCTCTGCCCACCTTTCTTCTCCAGCAGCTCATTTCCAGGCTAAAGTGGGGATTGCCATTCTCAGTAGAGACAGCTCGCTTAGTTGGGGAGTAATTTTGTCATTCATGGAAATAGTCATGAGATTGCTAACATTTAAATTAAGTCACAGCAAACTGTGAATGCTGAAAAAAAAGCGGGTTGGTGAAAACTGGGACTGGTGGGCGCATAGTTTCATTGTGCTCAGTTGTATTTTTTCAACTGCCTGTCTCAATGGCAATAAAATCATCTGCATTTCAGATGGAGTACGCTTTCACTCCTGTCTCGAGCACAACACTGTGTAGTTTGGTGGCACTGTCCCCTGCGAGAAAACCTGCATGCAAGGAAGCCGGCAGGGGCTGAGTAGAATCAGGAAACCGTTCCCCTCCTCCTCCACTCCCCTCCTTTCTTCCTCTCTTCCCTGGATAGAAATTACATGCCACTTCAATCTTTAAAATTTCTTTTTATTCTGAAGCAAGATCTCATTAATTTTGCCCAGGTGGGCCTTGAGTCCTCCTGCCTCAGCCTCCTAAGTGTTGGGATGACAGGCCCGTGCCTTCATGCCTGGTCTGGGAGGCACCTTTCTGCTGGGGACACAGGCCACTTCTGCTTGTGTCCCTCACGGCTGGACATCACTGGAAGCCTTGGGGTAAATAATAGCCACAGGATAGAGTAACATCTGTATCCACTGTTCTAAACCTCATTATGTTCAGCTGCAGGGAAGGCCTTAACCAGCTTCACGAATAAGTTACAGAGCACACTTTAACTTTGGAATGGGGATGTCTACAAAGCCACTTGTCACAGGACTGAGGACAGATGCTACCTGATTCCAGGGAGCCTCGGGTGATTTTACAGCGTGATGTAGGGGGCGGTTGGTTCAGTGAGTCCACAGCAAACCCCAAAGTGGGGCCAAATCTGAGCCAGGTTTTCCTGTGAGAGAACTGTTCTTATTCTTTATAAAGTCACAACATCACCATAAATACCTTTTATAAGAAGATCTCCAGATCTTTCCTCCAAATGGAGAGCTGAGTACCCCTGGGGCAGCCTGGGAAGAAGTATGTAGATGTGGACCCGTCCAGGGTTCTTGATTCAAGATGCCTGGTTCAAGTCCTGCCTTTAGGGGAGGGAGCAGGCCCAAGTCCTCAACTGACTGCAAAGCTCCAGGGGCCACCTCATGCTGCCCCAAAATGGAAGCTCATTTGCTGGGGCTCCAGCGCCTCCGGATACCTGGCTTCCTGCAAGTGACCAGGCGACCTGAGCGCAGGGAAAGGGTCCGGGGAAGAGAGGATGTAGTCAATGCTGAATTTGATGTCTCTGTGTGTGGCAGGACTGACCCGGGCCTCCCGGTCTGGAACTCGCGCGCTATCAGAGCGCGTTGACCCACGCACTGCTGGCTCGAGGGGACCCGGGGGCCCCTCGCGCTTGGGGCCGCGTCGCCTGCGCCGCCGCCGAAAGTTGCCATTCTCGAAAAGGTCCAAGAGGGACTCGCAGCCACCCGCGAACGTCCAGTAGTTGCCTTTACCCTTATCGTGGCCCTCGGTCCGTGGCACCTGCGGGAGTGTGGGGCTCAGCGAGTGTCCCTAAGCCTAGGGCAGCACGCGCCTCTGGCAAGTGCATTGCGGGCCCCCGTGGGGATCTGCTAACAAGGAACTTGCTTCTGTGTGGGCGGTGACACCCCTCCCCCTTCCCTGTCACCAAAGAGGACTGGGGACACCCGGGGGCCCAATGCGAGGGCGGGAGGGGGGAGGGGCTCACCTTGACGAAGCAGCTGTTGAGCGACAGGTTGTGGCGGATGGAGTTCTGCCAGGCGCGCTGGTTGGCGCGATAGTAGGGGAACTTGCGCATGATGAAGTCGTAGATGCCGGACAGGGTCACACGGCCCGCGGGGCTCTGCTGAATGGCCATGGCAATCAGCGCGATGTAGCTGCGACAGGGGTGCCAGACAGAGGGGCTGCATCAGGCGGGGTGGCACGCTGAAACCGCAGAAGCGCTGGTGAACTCAGACCTGCCCTGGGACTGGCCGGAACCCTTGAGACTAGATGGACACTCCCCACGCCCCCATGCACTACAGCTCCAGGGACCTGCCAGAGCTCAGCAGGCAGGCTCAAGCCTCTACGAAATCTCTGAAGCCCTCCAAAATCCTTTGGAGCTTTCCGGACCTTCTGAAGCCCCCAAGACCCTCTTGAACCCCCGAGACCCTCTGAACACCGAGACTCTCTGGAACCCCTGAATCCCTCTGGAATCTCTAATACTTCTCGACTCTGCAGGACCCTTTAAAGCTAGCAGGGGCCTACTGAATGAAACCCTTTCAGCCCCTCAGGACTCCAGTGGAGTGCTGGGGTGCAGAAGAAGCTGTCGTTTGATAATCTCCTCGCTGTTTCCCACTTCTACCCAGACCCCACTAGCCTGCTCAGATCTTGGTGGACCGTCCCCTCCCCACCCCCCCGGCTGTCTCCAGCGTGCACTGGAACATGCCCTTCTTCCTCAAAGACCGGCATAAGGAAGAAATCCCACCTCCCCTAGTCTGGGTCAGGTGCGGATGACCCAGACCTCTACTTCTCCTGTGGGCCCTGCCCTGGGGTCACCTGTACGCTGGCCTTGTAAGCCGTTTTTCCTCGTCGGAGCTGCCGGCAGGGTAGTCGTCGGCGTCGTCATTGAAGCAGTTATAGGGGTACTGCGAGCTGTCAAACATCGTAGCCACCCTGTGCTGGTTCACCCTTCCACTGCCGCCGCCTCTTCCTCCGCGCTGGCCGCCTGTCGTGGGTCCGGCACTAGTTTCCCTTGACTGGGCCAACAGCATCTGCATGCAGGACGCGGGGAGCCTGGGCTTCTGGGGTCCCCGCCCGCTCCGCCTGGTTCTCTGGCGTCCAATCCCAGTGCGGGGGTTGTCCCCAGCCACCACAGAGTGGGGAGCGCAGCGGGGGGCGTCGCCACCTTCTGACCCACCAGCGAGGGAGGCCTGGAGGGTGATCTGGCCCCACAGGCAGGGCGACCCTTCTCTATTCTCCCCTGAGGCCAACCCTGTGCCTGTTGCAGGGCCCACAGAGTCTCCATTCGCAGACTCTGGCCTCATTGCTGCACCCACAGCTAGAGGTGATGGGGTCCAGTCCTAGGGAGTTGAATTGCTCCTCTTTCATAGGACATAGGCTGGCTGCTTTCAGCTCCAGGACACAGAGCCTGGTCCAGGCACCATCTTGGCTTCCTGTTTCCCCGTTGCACCAGGTGGATGAGGACTCCAAAGTCCAGGGTTTCTCCCAAAATCCTGGGCTCTCCTCCCACTGCCCATCCCTGACTAGAAGTAGCCTCCCATGGGTGCTCTGGGTAGCCTGGGACTGCAGCGATTCTTCTGAGCCTCTGACTGGCTCTCTGGCCCTGGGAGTGGTAAAGTGCCCGCCTAGGCGGGGGCATCTGAGTCAGAGACGGGAAACCGTAGTGAGGTAGGATGTTTTGGGGGTACCATTTTCATTCCAGGGACTTCTTTCTAATACTTCACAGAAGTCAGACTAGGAGCCATGTTTGTGAACCCAGAGAGATAAGAGGCCAGGGCTAGCCTTGGGAAAATCTCCCCTTCAGGGCAGCACCTTCAGGGCTGCTTCCATTGATGGGACCTAGTGCTACCTCTCTTATTGTAAGGAATGAAGTCCTCTTTGGAGAAGCTTGCGTGCAGCAAGTCAGGTTTCTTTGTGCCACCGTGGCACGGCTACTGTCCCAGTCCAAGCCACCACACTCGGCAACAGGAGTCAAGCCTTTGGGGAAGTAAAGTGCATAGTCCCTCTGTGAAACAGTCTGGCCATTAAAAATATTAAACATGAAGTCAGTAGTGGTGGCATAGGACTATAATCCTGACCAAGGCAGGAGGACCTTGCGTTTCAGGTCAGCCTGCACTATAAAAAGAGGAAACAAAACCCCACACAAACATGATTGCCACAGGACCCATATATCCCATAATATGCCTTTACACAAGTCAGACAGAAACCTGAGACCAGCCCCATGTGCTTGGAGAAGCTTTACTGGAAACGTCTGATGGGATACACACCTCTCAGCAGGTGTGAGGTCAAGTCAACTATGCGGCGTCTATGCTGTAGACGGGTACTACACAGGCAGTAAAAGCAGAGATTCTGGGTGTACGCAAAAAAGCCAATCTCAGATGTTTACCCTCCTCCTAGTCTGAACTGCAGGACACCCGAGAGACCAGGGAGAGGCAGCAAGGCCTTAGGACTCTGTTTCAGTGATGGCACCGCCCCCTTCCCATAGTCACAGGCTCACCCAGAACCGAGCGAAGAGATCAGGATGCTTTCCAAAGGAAGGAGTGGAAGGGTACATTGTGAGGACGGCAGATGGGATGGATAGCGCTGGGCAGCCATCTCTGCTTTATGAGGGGAGCAGGTGGATAAGATGCAGTCGCCTTTGTAAAAATACAACACCGCCCTAGAGGTTTGCGGGGAGGCGGGGTGACAGGAAGGGTGGCAGGGAATGAAGGAAGAGGGGGGATCTTTTGTATAACATGAACCTACAGACCCAGACTGCGAGGCACACACGATTTGTCAAAAACTGAATGGCATCCGATGAAGGTGCTGATCTTCCGTCAGACGTGAAACTTGCCCATGTTCTCTCCCACCCTGTGACTGTCTCTTGCTTCACAGTGTCCCTTGAGGGCTCTAATATCTTTGATTTTGACAAAGCCCTATTGGCTTATTTTTTCCTTGCTTTGCCGGAGCCTTGCCACCGAATACAAAGCCAAGATTTCCTTCAGTATCTTCTCTTGAGACATTACTAAGATGTTGACGGGGGTGGCAGCTGGCCTGTGTCATAGTGTGATGGACCCCTTCCTGAGGATGTCAGTGGAGAGAAACCAGTGTGACACAAAAGTCCCAGCTTAACTCGCGGTGCCTGGACCGGGCAAATGCAGTTAGAAAAGAGATTGTGAGTTTGGGCCGGAGATAGTGGCAGGGTGTGGTTTTTGACAGCACAATGGGACACAGCACTGTGACTATATTAATACTGTTGAGAGGCACACTTAGAGATGGTCAAAATGGATGATACCACTTGTGTCTCCTGCCAACCAATGCGTTTAAGTGAGGGGCTGAGAGAGTGGCGCAAAGCCCTCAGTTCCATCCCCAGTATCTGGTGTGGGAGTGTACGCAGGTAATCTTAGCATTCAGGAGACAGTTCAAAGTCACCTCACTTACACAGTGAGTTGGAGGCCAGCCTGGGATGCATGAGACCTTGTCTCAAAAAAATAAAAGACTTAAAAGGAGTTGGAGAGATGGCTCAGTGGTTAAGAGCACTGACTGCTCTTGCAGAGAACCTGAGTTCAGTTCCCAGTCTCCAAATAGGAGCTCTCAACTACCTGTAACGCCAGCCCTAGGGGATCTGATGCCCTCTTCTGCCATCCCTGGGTACTGCACACATGTGTTACACAGTCATTCATGCAGACAAACACACATACACAGAATGCTTATAGGTATTGGGGATGTTTAAAAAGTTTAACACCTGCTTCAAATGGGAAATTAAGCACTATTAATATATGTCAGTGTGTGTGTGTGTGTGTGTGTGTGTGTGTGTGTGTGTGTCTGGGGGAAGTGTTGTGTATATCCGCAGAGGCCAGAGGAGGATATCAGATGTCATGATCTATCATTCTCTACCTTCCTTCGCTTGAGACAGGGTCTCTTGCTGAATGTGGAGGTACAATGGCCACCAGCAAGTCCCAGTGACCCTCCTGTCCCCATCCTTCACAGTGCTGGGATTACACACATATATTCAGCCATACCTGTTTTTTTCACATGGCTTCCCGGGATCCAAACTCAGGTCTTCATAGTTGTACAGCCAGGGATCTTACCTTCTGAGCATTTTGCCAGTCCTTTTTGTATTTCTCTATTCTTTCTTTCTTTATTGACATAGGATCTTACAATGTAGCTCAGGCTGGTCTTAAACTTGAGATTCTTTCTGCCTATGCCTTTGAACCACAGGACTGTGGTTCCCCCACCCAGGGGTTCCTATGTGGAACTGAAAGTGTGGGAACAGCCTGGGTGGCTCCTCCCACTATTCCCACAGACTTGTGTTCTCCTGGAGGTTCTGGGGCGTAGGGAGCGGTATGAGCAGAGGCAGTGGGAAGTTGTACAGATTCTATGCACATTGGAAGGCAGAGCTGAGAGGCCATGGTGTAAAGGGAATTGATGGTCAATGAGAGCCCTGAGCTGGGGCTGAACACTTGAAGGGCAAAGGCCCTGCCACCATGGGAAGGAAGGAGCAGGGCAATACCTGTGGGAAGTCCAGTGCCTGGCCTCACAGACGAGGTCACATCTGGATCCTCCTCCTGTCACTAGATGGCTTGGATTGGCCACCCTACCCAGCACCTGTCCTGTCTCCTGCCTTGCCTGGGTATACAGGTATTCCCAGAAAGAGTCTTAACTAAGCTCACAGCTCTCTTCTCTGTGAGTTTACACTTGCCGGAGGCCAAAGGGAAGCTGAGTACTACACACCTTGATATTCCAGAACCATCCACTTATTTAGGCTCTTTTATCTCTGCAAGTGTCATGTGACCTTTCTTAGGGCGATGTGAACAGGCTCACCGTAGACAGGGTGAGGACAGATCAAAGAAAACATTCCGTCCAGGTCTAGCTTAGCGAAGCAATGAGTTTATTGGGGTTCCCTACAAGCACATGGCTCAAATGGATTCAGAAAAGCTGCATCCTCGGAGTTCCCTGTGAGACTAGCCCAGGTTAACCCTGCTGGAGCAAATGTTACTGTTGTGTTACCCCGGGGAGGGGCCTCGTGAAGCCTGCAAGTTTGAGGAACTGCCTGAAACTTGTGAGTTTGTTTATTTATTGAATCTTAATCTCCAGCAGGGAATGGTTCCATTCGTAGGAAAGAGCTTACCCTTATTACGAAGCACTTCTGTGGACAAGACAGCATTTGTCTCGGTGATGCACTGGCAGAGGTACCAAGGATGACTGTGTAGTGTCTCAGACTTTCCGGGCAACTATGGGACCATGCACTTCATCTTGTATCCCTGTGCTTGCACCTGCCTAGAGCAAAAATTCTGCCCCCATTCTCATACCCAGGCAGCATGGCAACTATATATCTTCTCATGGCCCCATGCAAACCTGTGTAGCTATGACGAACATAGGCTTTGTGACTCACGGCCTGTGGTGGTTTGAATAGGAATGTCCCCCATAGGCTCATATATTTGGATGTGTGGTCATTAGGGTGTGACTACTTGACAGGGATTAGGTGTGGCCTTGTTGGAGTAGGTGTGACCTTCTTGGAGGAAGTGTGTCACTAGGGGTCAGCTTTGAGGCTTCAAATGCTCAAGCCAGGCCCACTGTGCCTGTGGATCCAGGATGGGAAACTCTTGGCTCCTTCTCCAGCCATCACGACTGCCTGTCTTTTGCCATATTTCCTGTTATGACAATAATGGACTGAACCGCTGAACTGTAAGCCAACTCCAGTTAAATGTATTCCTTTATAAGAGTTGCTGTGGTCATAGTGTCTTTTCATAGCAATAGAAACTCTGACTAAGACATGACCCAAGTTCTGGGTCCATGTGTTCCTGGATCATACATGAAACCATACTATCATATCATATCACCTGTCCTTGAAACAGACACCCACACGTATGATCATGGGAACAAGGGACATTCTGGTCCATTCTGCTAAATGCAGAAAACATTAGCTGTGAATCTTTTTTTT